ATCCCAGCAATGGTGGAGGTTTGCTGCCTAGGTGCATGCATGCCTGTGATCCCAGCAATGGTGGAGGTTTGCTGCCTAGGTGCATGCATGCCTGTGATCCCAGCAATGGTGGAGGTTTGCTGCCTAGGTGCATGCCTTCGATCCCAGCAATGGTGGAGGCCAAAGAGCCAGAAGGTCAAGGTCAGCATCAGCTACATGGTAAGTTCGAAGTATGCCTGTGATTCACTGGGTTCATAAGAAAAAGAGGAGGAGCTGGGAGGAGGAGTAGGAGAGGGGAAGAGTCGAAAGGAGAAGTCAGGTCACCTAGAAGGATAGAGCTAATGCCATCCTGGTAGCAGTAGCCCCCAGTGTGACTTACACCTGGCCCCTCCTCCTGCCTCAGTCAAGCTTTGATGCTACTCATAACCAGTTGGGGTCTTTCTGGCTGGGAATGGAGCCTGGGCTTTAGGTGAGCTGGATAGCAAGTGCTCTACCACCACCCTCCATCCGCAGTTATTTGAAGCCTTGGAGCCTATTATTTTCTGCCTGTGTGTTGAAAAGCCGCGAGCCCGGCCTTTATCCCAGACTTCTCCCTTTGTCCCACACATGGCCCTTTGTGTATCAGTGGTGGAGAAACAGGGGTGACACAGGACACATGTCACCCTTAACAGCACAGACAGGACAGGGGTGCAGGGCTTCTGGGATAAGCCCTGGCAGATCACTGGATATACGATCCGTGCATGGATGGCTCCCTGCACAGATACCTTTTCTCACAAGTGGTCCAGCCAGACAAGGCAGATGAAAATCTCAAGGTGTTCCTTAGGCTGTGGTCTTCTACCTGAGACAGCTCTGGTCTGGGTTCCATGCTTCCCAGATATGTCACCTTTCTGCAATCCACCCAGATACCACCATCGATGGTTAGGACACACGGGGCAATCTGTTCATTTGGCCTTTAGAGTCTGCAGCCTCTACTCTGTCTGTGAGCCCAGCCACCAGTGATGTTCCACTCGGGCTGTGTGGTAGTGGACAGATCACCCAGCCTTTCTGGGTCTGAATTTCCTGAGATGTAATAACAAAGTAGGCAGAGGGGAGATACTCACCCACGAAAGCTCCAATCACTAGAGATAATTCTAGCTAATAAGGGGTTTTCTCTTTTCCATTGGAAGCTCCTCCAGCTGGGTGCCCACATGTCAACACCTTTTGCCGCCTGGTAGTCTCCTTTTGACTCCCTTTTGTGGCCTTATCTTTAATTTTTTTTATTTTCCTATTGCACCCAGGGTCTCTCCTCACATGCTAAACAAGCATCCCCAGCCCCCAACTCCTTTTCTAACAAAGCTGTCCCCAGAGAGAAGCCGTCGTTGTCGGGTGATTGAATCCAGCTAGGTGGCTGGCTTATCATGGTCTTCATTTTTATGGGAATTTTACTTGTTAACAAAATGTGTACAACTGATGTAAAAGTGTACCAGGAAAAGAAGTTCGGTGGAGAGAATCTCGAGGCCCTGCAGTTCCCAAGGCTGCTGTTACCTCGGTGGGTCTGTTCTGTCACTCTGAAGGCCTGCAGACCCAAGACAAGGCACCAGCTTTGCCGGGGCTCTCAGCACCGAATGTGCCTGTTCTGGTCCGGGTTTGTATGGGTCGCCACCAGTCCCTGGCCTTCTTGGTCTGCAGCTGTCTCTCCTCTGCCTCTACCTTTGTGCGGCATTCCCCTGTGGCATCATCTGGCCATCTTCTGTGTCAGACCCCACATCCACATTTCCTTCTTGTTTTATGGAGTCAGGGTTTCCTATAGCCCAGACTGGCCTCCAACTGGCTATGTAGCCAAGAATGACTTTGAACTCCTGAACCTCCTGCCTCTACCTCCTGAGTTTGGGGGCTACAGGTGTGTGCCACCATGCCCAGTTCATGCAGTGAGAGTGATCCAACCAAGAATTACAAGCTTCCTAGTCAAGCACTCTACCCAATGGACTACATCCCCAGCCCCTCAAAATGCTGTGAAAAACTAAAATTTACAAATACCTAATAGGGGTGGGGAGGCTGTGAGAGATGGCTCAGTGGTTAAGAGCACTGCTCTCAAAGACCTGAGTTCGGTTCCCAACACCCATGCTGGGCAGCTCATAGCCATCTATAACCTAACAGAGTGAGTTCCAGGACAGGCTCCAAAACTATACAGAGAAACCCTGTTTCGAAAAAACCAACCAACCAAACAAACAAAAACAACACAAAAACCCAAAACAAAACAAAAACTAATTTAGTGGCTGGGAATGTGGATCAGTTGGTAGACTAGCATCCAGAAGGTCCTGGGTTCAATCCCCAGCACTGTATAAACCAGTTGTGGTGGTGCACACCTGTAACCCAGCACTTGAGAGGTGGAGGCAGGAGGATCAGAAGGTGAAAGTCATCCTCAGCTGGCAAGTGAGTTCCAGGTCAGTATTGTCTCAAGAAACAAAAACAAACAGCACACCTGAGCAGCTCCACTTGGGGCCCTTTGGAAGGCCAGAACCTGGATAATCAGTGTAGGCCAAGGCAGGCAGGCAGGCAGGAGAGGAAGGGGATTCTCTGCACAGACACTGACTTCTGCCTGAGCACCAGCAGCATCCTCCTGTCTCTGCTTTCCAGTCAGCTCCTCACAAAGGCTGAAGGGCAGGTGCTGTTAGCCTGCAGCCTCACCAACAAGGAGTAAAGCCCGTACAGGAGTGGAACTCTGGCTCCCTGACCCCAGGGCACTCAGGAAGAGAGACAGTGTTTGGGATCAAGAATTTGTGGTTGATGTCGGGGCTCAGGGCTGTTTCAGACCTGTCATGGGTTCCCCATTCAGGCCTTGTCACCAGGTCTGCACGCGCTGAATAGGGTTGGGCCTGGCATTCCAGAGCTGCACAGGGCCTGCTCTCTCTTGCTTTCTTCCAGCTCCTCATGAGGCTTAAATGTCCCCTCGTGATCAGAGCTAACTCAGGTCCCTCAGGCCTGGAGCACCCTGAGAGAACATGCAAGGCCAGTGCTCTCTAAGCTGCACCCCAGCCTCAGCTTAGTTTGCTGTTCGGGAGCCCTGGAGAAGCACCTGCCCATGCGCAGAAGCCGACCAACCGGACCAGACTGGTGGCTATAAGAACCTTCCAGAATCTTCTTCCGAAGGTGCTGTACAGATTTCAAGTTATACTTTTCCAGGCATGGTGGCGCATGCCTTTAATCCCAGCACTCAGGAGGCAGAGGCAGGCAGATCTCTGAGTTTGAAGTCAGCCTGGTCTACAGATAGAATTCCAGGACAGCCAGGGGTATGTAGAAAAAGCATCTCAGAAAAAAAAAAATTAAAAATAATCTTGTGATAATCCAGGTTCCGCGGCCTTCCAAACAGCCCTAAGTGGACCTGCTCAGGTGTGCTGTTTGTTTTGTTTTTTGAGACAACACTGACCTGGAACTCACTTGCCAACAACAGAGGATGACTTTCACCTTCTGATCCTCCTGCCTCCACCTCCTAAGTGCTGGGTTACAGGTGTGCACCACCACATCCAGCTTATGCAGTGCTGGGGATGAACCCAGGACCTCCTGGATGCTAGGCAAGCAATCTACCAACTGATCCACATTCCCTGCCCCACAATTAGTTTTTGTTTTTAAAGAAGTTTCAGTTTTCAGTCTCATTTTAAATCTGCACAGCGCCTGTGGAAGAAGATTCTGGAAGATTCTCACAATCCCCAGTCATTGACTGAGTCAGAGCGGAGCTGACTTCAGGAGGAGAACCTCCTTCAGGAACACAGGCAAGGCAGGAAGGAGAATTCAGCCCTGGAACAGGGGCAGGGGGCTCCCCAGGCAAAGCTGCAGCTCTGAGGTGCGGTTCTCCCACTCCTGGCCCCACCTACCCTGCCCGAGAGCCTTTCCTGAAGATGCCTAGGGCTCGCTTTTCAGACCCTGTGAGCATTTGCCTCAGCTGGGGCCCAGCACAGCCTCTGGCCCCACATTGTTTGCCTCTGACACACTTCACCTCCAGGACAACTTCAGAGCAGCTGCTGTGTCCCCTCCCCCTCCCCCTCCCGCCCCCTCCCCATGAGTCCTGCTAGCCAGTGGACTGTCCCATGTCACAGCAGCACTTGTGTTCAGGTATGTAATGAGGAGTGCAGAGAGAGACACTTCTCTATCGTAGCCCAGCATGTAGATTGTAATTGCTTAGTTTGCTCAGTACTTACCGGTGTTAGACTTTCCTGAGCAGGATTCAGAAATCTAGTGTATCACAGGTACCTGTTTAGAAGGAAACACTGCAGGCTGGAGAGATGGCTGGGTGGTTAAGAGCACTGGCTGCTCTTTCATAGGTGCTGAGTTCTGTTTCCAGCACCCACTTTGGGGCTCACAACCATCTGTAAAAATAGTTTCAAGGGATCTGATGCCCTCTCCTGGCCTCCTTGGGCACTGCACACAGAAGGTGCACTGCTATACAAACAAGCCGACGCTTATATACATAAAATACAACTAAATAAATCTTTAAAAAGACAAGAAAAGTTAAAGTTCTAAAAAAGAACAAACGTGAAACATTGTAGAGGCTCTCTGGCCTTACAGGATTGTGTTGGGGGGCGGGATGCTACAGTGTCTCAATTCTCAGGCAGGGAGGGGGCTTCAAAGGCTGTGTTGTTACTTTTCCTGTTAAGATAAAATACCCGGATAAAATCAATTTAAGGAAGACAGTTTATTGGCTCATGGTTCAGGCATCAAGGTAGAGAGCCATGGGGGCGGCAGCCTGAGGCAGCTGGTCACATTGTATCCCAGTCAGGGAGCAGAGAGAGGTGACCGCTGGTGCTTGGCTCTGTGGCTTTTCTCGTATTATTCAGTCTGGGACATCAGCTCATGGAATGGTGCCACCACAGCCAAGTGATTCTTCCCACCTCAGTTACTCTAACCTAGAGAACCTCTCACAGGCATGCCTGAAGGCTTGTCTCCTAGGTGACTCTAGATCCTGTCAAATTAACAGTTTAAACCCCCGGGAAGCACAGACACAGTTTGCTGAGGCAGGCAGGCTCCAAGGGTGCTCTGGCTCTGGAAACCTGGCTCAGCTTCTCCTTGACGGTGCTTTCTTTACTTATAACTGTCGGATTGGTTCTACATGATATAGCTGTGGAGGTGAGGACTGAGAGGTCCCTGGTACCTGAAGGGGGCCACAGGGAATGAAAGGTACCTCTGCTCTTGGTAAAATGATCCTACCAGTCCCCTGAGCCACCAGATTTCCCTCTGCCCATCCCACAACTCTGTTTCTTTTCCATTTTAACTTTTCTTTTTTTTTTCCTGACAGGGTTGCCTCTAACCTCTGGCTGGCTCAGATTCACTATGTAGCTAATGCCTCCTCCTCCTCCCAAGTGCTGGGATTACAGCGTGTACCATCATGAAATCATGAGTCCTCATTAGTCTCTACCTGCTATGGTCTCCACCTCACCTTTCTTGTTCTTTTTCATCTCATTCTTCTGTCTCCCTAGAACCTTCAGTGGCTCCCCATTCATTACCTGCTTAATATGGTGGTAGTCCTAGAAACCCACGGCATCCTCCTTTCCAGCTCTCTGCCTCTCTCCTCGTCCAAATGTATGCATCACTCTGCCCTTGCACTCACCTGTCCCCACTTGATTCTTTCTTCAGCCTCTACCCAAATTCCCTCTACATCCCAAGCACCGCCCCACATAACCCATCCCGCCACACCTTGCTGCCTCTCTGCAGATGTCTGACCTCCTCTTTACATGTGGAGGTCAAGGACAACATTGTGGGTCAGTTCCCTCCTTGCACAAGTTCCAGGGCCAGAACTCGGCTCCTCAGGCTTTCCAGTTCATCCCTTTGACCAGCTACACCATGGTCTCCGGGCTTGAGAAGCTGAACTCTTGGCCTTGAGCTTATTAGCTAGGTAAGCACTCTCCACCACTGCTCCCCCCAACCACTCCCCAACCCTTTTATTTTTCCAGAAGGAAAACTTGACCCCCAGCAGCAGTTTCTGTCGTGTGTCCTTGGCCAGAACCAGCCCCACGCCATTTTAGATGGCTTGCACCACCAGTCAGCCATGGGTCAAGACCTCTGAAAACATAATCCAAAGCGAACCTTTTTCTACATCGATTCTCCTAGGTGTCTCCTTGCAGGGAAAACTCTGAGGCTTTCGTCTCTTGTGGAAGCGTTCTTTGCCCTCTTTCTGGGGAACCTTGGCTCCACTGAGGCAGTCACAGATGCTCTCACAGACTGGCCAGGCTGTTTTTGAACTTCATGTGAATGGGTCATACAGTATGTCTGATCTCTTTTCCTAAGCAGGAGGGCACAAGACGGAGAGACTAGTTTAGAGGTGTGTGTGTGTGTGTATATGTATGTGTGTGTGTGTGTGTATGTGTGTGTGTGTGTGTGTGTCTGTGTTTGTGTGTCTGTGTCTGTCTGTGTGTATGTTTTTATCAGTTGAGACTTTTGTTGCTAAGCAGTAAGTAAGTGTTTGCTGTTGAGGGACATTTGGGGTGTGGTTTGCTCATCAGCTCCAGAGCTGGGTTGTAGTTAGTAGTGTAGGGCTGGTCTTGGGGTTGGAATCCTCCTGGCCTCCACTTTCCCAGTGCTGGGATTGCAGTCTACCCGGGACTCCTCCTGATTCTATGTAAACTGAGGTAACAAGAATCCCAGTAGCCCTCAGGAAATAAGAGGATCACCAAAAATCCAAGGCTAGCCTGGTCTACATTGGGAGTTCTAGGCTAGCCAGTACTATATAGCAAGAGTCTGTCTGAGGTTTTATTATTTATTATCTATCTATCTATCTATCTATCTATCTATCTATCTATCTATCTATTTTATATGCATTGGTGTTTTGCCTGCATGTATATCTGTGTGAGAGTGTCAGATCCCCTGGAACTGGAGTTACACAGCTGTGAGCTGCCATGTGGATGCTGGGAATTGAACCCAGGACCTCTGGAAGAGCAGCTAGTGCTCTTAACTGCTGAGCCATTTCTCTGTCTAAAGTTTTTTTTTTTTTTAAAGATTTATTTATTATGTATACAGTGCTCTATTTGCATGTATCCCTGCAGGCCAGAAGAGGGCACCAGATCTTATTACAGATGGTTGTGAGCCACCATATGGGTGCTGGGAATTGAACTCAGGACCTCTGGAAGAACAACCAGTGTTCTTAACCTCTGAGCCATCTCTCCAGCCCCCCCTGTCTAAAGTTTTAAAAGCAAAATAAAGTAGCACGAGCTACTCTGGCAGAGAATGAGGGTTCTATTCCTGGCGCCTACACAGGGCCTCACAACCCTCTGTAACTCCAGTTCCAGGGGATCTGATACTCTTCTCCGGCCTCCACCAGCACCAAACCCCAAGACTTAAATGCAGACAAAACACATAAAAAATTAAATAATTTTTAAAATTAAAGATAGCACATGATTCAAGTAATAGATGCACAAAATTTAAAAAATGAAAATTATAATAAAACAAAAAGTGATTTCATAAATAGGTCTGTGTTCCTTTCATCCCTTCCCGATATCAGTTGATCAGTTATTAAAATCTTTAGTCAGGTGATGACCCCCAATACAAGTCTGAGGCTAACTAAACAAGGCTATGTACCGAGATCCTATCTCAAAAGGAGGGGCAGAGAAGGCCAAGCATGGTGGCACGCCTCTAATCCCAGCACTCAGGAGGCCGAGGCAGGCAGAGCTCTGTGAGTTTGAGGCCAGCCTGGGCTACATAGTGAGTTCCAGGACAGCCAAAGCATGCCAGAGATGGAACTCGGGTTCTCCAGCATGTCAGGCAAGTGTCTGCCCTTGAGCTAGATCTCAGCCAATTGGGTCTTTGTTTTGTTTGTTTATAGGTATGTGTTATGTCTGTGCACATGAGTGAAGAGTCCAAAGAGTCCAGAGGAGGGCACTGGAGTTACAGGCAGCCAAGAGCCGCCTGATGTCGGGGCCGGGAACTAAGCTTGGGCCCTCTGCAAGGGCAGTACGCATTCACAACAGCTGAAGCATCTCTCCAACCATTTGTTTTAAAACAGAATATCACTTGGTTACCCAGGCAGGCCTACAGCTCACTATGTAGTCTAGGCTGGTCTCAAACTTGAAGCAATCCTCCTGCCTCAGAGCCCCGAGTGCGGGGAGTCCAGCTTCAAGCCACACATGATTTCAAGTCTTGGGTTCCGTGTGAGAGTCAGTGCAAGGTTTTGAGCAGCAAAGCAACAAGATGAGATTTATTGATTGGAAAAACCACTTGGAGCCATGGGCCAAGGGCAAGTACAGGAGCCCGGGAGAAGTTGTGTCATTTGCTAAAACCCAATGTGGTAGAAGTGTGCTGAGCCCTTGAGCATGGTTGCACCATCTCAGTCCACGGTGGCTGCTGACGTTGCACTTCCAGATGGCAGCGTGCACCGTTGGTTCACCTCCCTGTGCCTGGCTCTGGGACCACAGAGGGGAGGGGCTCACCTCCTTGGGTGTGCCTGAATTCTGGGAAAGGGAACAGCTTCCAGGTTGGATGCTGCAATAAAAAGAATAATTGGACCTGTTTCCCAGCAGCTCTTGCACCAACCTCTGATGAAGAGTGTGCCGAGGCTGGGTGTACAGCTCAGTGGCAGAGGCTCTGGGGGAATGGTTCCCAGCATGGCAAAGAAAAAAAAAAAAGTCCTAAGAAGCTTCTCAACACCTTCTCCCGGCACACTGCGGTATGGAAGCAGCTTGACGTGGCTGCAGCCATCTTGAGTCATGAGAGGCACTTGGCTACCTTTTTCTGCATAGCCTCCTACAGAAAACTGTAAACAGATAAAGCCATTCCAGTTCTGTGGGTCTTAATCAGTGACTTTTCCAGATCCTCAGATAAGCAGATACATTCCAGCCAGTGGGGGCCCCTTAAGTCCACTCCGATTTCTGACCAGGCAACCAGTTGGTCATAATGCTGCTGGGGCCATCTGTCAGTAAATTTCTAATAAACCGCAGCATGTAGTCCCAGGTCTGTCTGCCTCTCTTGGTTTCCTAGTGCGTTGGGGTGGATCTTCACACCAGGCAGGACTGCGTTGTTCTGGAAAACCTATGAATCACCGGGGAGGCTCTCAGTTCTCTCTTCTGCCTTCAGGGAGCACAGTTCACATTGCCTTTGAGTGGTAAACAAACGTTGAGAACATTTATGTCTACTTCCTGGGAACATGAAGTCCCCATCCTGGGGCCGGGGTGCCACACCCCCTCATTTTAACCCAGGGGATTCAAGGCCTCTCATGTCATGGATGCATAATGAAAGGCCATCCCCTGACAACCTGGGGACAGTTTGGACCTGAAATCCTGCCATCTGTGGACAGCAGTGTGACCTCAGATTGTCTGTGTTGGCTGCCTAGCAGATCACCCCGAGAGAGTGGTTCAAACAATAAATATGGGCTGTTTGCGGTGGCCAGGAATTCGGGTGGCGGTGGTCAAAGGGTCTGTCATAGGGTCCCTGTCATGGTGACATCAGGGGCTGCTGTCATCTGAAGGCTCCGTGCGCTCTCTTGGGGCTGGTGGACTAGCTGTTGGTGGGATGACTCAGTTCTCCTCTGTGGAGGTCTATCCCTCTGTGGCTGGCTCCCTCCACGAAGGAGGGCAGAGTGTGGAAGCTGCAGTGTCCTGTGGTCCAACCTCAGAAGTCACCCATCATCTCCCCTGCAATGTCCCTTGGATCACCGAGGTCATGCTGTTTGCTGGGAGGGGACCCAAGGAACGTGGAGACTCTTCACCTGGCCACCAGACTGCCAGCGTGAGGAGAGAGCCTGGGCCACTCTCTGGCCTTCGTGGGTGCCAGGTGCTGTGCTAGGCCTGTGGCTGGACTTGTAGAGATCCTAGAGAACACCCCAGTTGTTAGAAGACTCCCTAAATCACAGCAGCTGAAGCCACCACAGCCAGGACTGCTGGGCTAGTGAGCGGCAACACCTGGGAAGGGGGTGAAATTCCCAGCCTTGGAGAAATCAGGGAGGTCTCCACAGAAGGTGGCTTGGATATCCAGAACAGCTTAGGCCTGGAGCAGGAGGGCAGTGTCACACCACACACACGCTCATAGCAGAAGAAGGAATCGGACCCATGGCACACACCTTGGAGACATTCCTCTTCCCGGCTCCTGTCTGACACAGAAATATTGGTCATGTGTTGCGCTCTGTTCTGGATGCTGCAATCTAGCTGTGGGCAACAGGGACCACCACAAAGGCCTCAACACTGTGGTACTGGCTTAGGGACAGGGCCTAGAAATCACCGCCAAAATAAAGGGTAGTTCTGCTTTAGCCAAGCTCCATGCACATGCCGCCTGCAGAGGGCACCATCATGTCCCCATGTGACAGATGGGGAAACTGAGGCTTGGAGCTCCCAGCACTGTCTGAGATCATAGACAAGACTAACCAGACTTTGCTGTGGCCACCCCAGCCCAGACAGATGCAGGTCCCGCAGCCTCCACCTGCCTCTCAGAACACACAAAGCCTCTTTGGCACTGACCAGAGACCTCCCAGGCCCAGGGCTTCCCAAGTTGGGAGGAGGCAGCCTGGATTCATGTGTGGATCAGCTTCTGTGCTCAAGGTCAGTCATGTGACCGATTAATAGGGACTGCGAGTCCCGCAGGAGGGATTTTCAGGGATTGCTGAGGAGTGAGGAGGATTGCCTCACCTCCCTCTCCCCTCCCTCCCTCCCTCTTTCTCCAGAGGTGAGAAGAGATGCAGGGACTGATGAGGGTTCTGGGACCCCAAGTCTCAGGATCTCTACATAGTCTGTCACCTCATCTGTGCCCCAAGTTTGGAGTGATTACAGTCACCGGAAGAGCCCTCCCATTATAGAGGAGAAAAGCACAAGCCGGGCCCCGGATGGTATGGCTCCCTCCATCCTTTATACTGAATTATATGAACAATAAGAAGAGACCAATAGATAGGAAGAGAGCCCTGGAGCCCTCTCATCCTTGGGGGCTGGTCAGGAATGGGACCTTGCTTGACCAGGAGCTTGTCCAAGGTCAGAGAACACCCTCAGTTCTAGAGACTCGGCTCAGCAGTTAAGAGCACATGTTGCTGTTGCTGAACACCTGAGTTCGGTTCCCAGCACCCACACTGAGGGGCTCACAAATACCTGTAACACCAGTGTCAGGATCCGATGCTCTCCCACAGCCTTCTGTGGGCACTTGTACTCATGCACATGCCATACACATGTACATACCCACACACATGTGCACATCCCCATACACATATGCACATACCCCCTGCACATGTACATACCCACATACATGTGTACATACTCATGTACATATAACCACAAACGTGTACATACCCACACTCAGAGACATAAGTAATACAAATAAATCTTTTTTTTTGGGGGGGGGTTGCTTTGGTTTGGTTTTCGAGACAGGGTTTCTCTGTGTAGTCCTGGCTGTCCTGGAACTCACTCTGTAGACCAGGCTGTCCTGGAACTCAAAGATTTACCTGCCCCTGCCTCCTGAGTTCTGGGACTAAAGGTGTGCACCACCACCACCCGACATAAAAATAAATCTTAAACAAAAAATAAACAAACAAAAAACCACCCCCAGTCCCACATCCACCCGCCATAGGAGTGAATTCAGGGCACAGCCCATAGATCCCACAGAACTCAGGTTCTGCAGAACACCTCTTCAGCTGGGCGTGGGGGCACATGTCCATAGTCCCAACACCTAGGGCAAGAGGACTGCCATGAGTTCAGGGCCAGCCTGGCCTTTATAGTGAGTTCTAAGCCACCCTGAGGTATAGTGTCAGACCCTGTCTTTAAAATAAAAGACCCTGCTGGGAGGTGGTGGTGCACACCTTTAATCCCAGCACTCGGGAGGCAGAGCCAGGCAGATCTCTGTGAGTTCAAGGCCAG